TAATGTAAACCCTAATGTAAACCCTAATGTAAACCCTAATGTAAACCCTAAAACCAGCTTCTAGTTAAATCTAAGGACTATTTCACAGAACCTGCATTCCATTTAGCATGAAAACTTCCTATTAGATCAAGGACAATATGTGTTTATTATTCTGCTTGGTGTATTTTTCCTGTCATATTGTTTGTGTCGTAGTGGGGTGTGTGGCGAGCTAATCCAAGCAACCAAGGCAACATGCCTCAGTGAACACAAGAACTGGGTATGTAGAGATCCTGAATTTGGACAAGCTGTGCCGATGTTTCCTCATCAGCATGACTTTATGATTCATCGTTTAAGCGGGATTTGCAACCAATAATGCGATCTAGAAAGGACATATCACATGTTCTAGACTTTTTTGTTTGTTTCTGCCAAGTCGTTGATGTCATTCTTAGGCCTACCTCATGTTCGTTTCCGGCGGAATCTAACTCAGACATACTGGGTGATACTGGCTGGCTATATATCTGGGCCAGATCCTGGATTGTGTAACTCAACCATCTGGTCAGGTGCGAAGCATGCGGTGCCTAAGCTTACCTGCGGGAAGATTTGGTCGGATCTTCAATAAGAAATTCTCTAGAGTTGTTCTGGCTGTTTTGGCTATCCTCTCCGTCATTTTCAATTTTTCCCTTCTCTCCTCAAACCCTTATCTTCCGAATACAAGTTCAATCAGGTCACGTTTGCAATCGATCCCGCCCGATGCGGTTTCCCACCGCAAGAATCTTATCTTGTCCGCTCTTGACGGTGCAAAATGGCAAGACCAAATTTTCATTTTCATGGAGTCTCTCGACATTGCTTTGGGAAGAGACGCACTTGATATTACCCGATGCCAAAACGAACAGCCAGATGGCGGAATGACTACTTCCTGTCAGCCTTTACCCGTTGAAGTCAAGATTATTGTCCCTGGAGAGGTTGCGGACCACCCACCGCCAGGATTTCAGATATTAATGAGCCGTTACCCATTCCTCTCATTTGTTGGCGCTCTTCCAGATTCAGACATTCCCGTTGTTGCCCGCCGATTTCAAGGGCTCAGCGCTGTGCTCCACAACAACACAGGAGAATATTTCGACAACGTTCTGGTCTGTGATTTGGATGTCGTTTTCCAAAGGAATCCATTCACTCTCTCCCAGACCACACCCACAAGCGTTGAACTTCTACTTTTCGCTGAGTGGCGCGGCCTTAAAATTGGACAATGCAATGTGCATCAACGGTGGTTCGATAGTTGCTCTAGAGCCTTGGATCCACCATATCTATCCCGCGATGACGCAGATAGATATAACACACTGGACCGAATATGTGCGGGAACTACGTACGGCACTTCCCGCGCAATATCGATCTACTTACAGACGATGGTTGCAGAGTTAACGAAGAGTAAATACCAATGCAACGATCAAGCAACTCACATACACATTTTCTATTCCGGAATTTTGGATACAGAGCTCAGGCAAGCTGGAGTTGGTAAATCTGAGCTGGTTCCAAATGCAGATGCCTTGCTAGGTACAGTGGGAACGACACCTATGGTGAGATTTAATGATTGGAGGGAGATTTTGAACGAGAATGGTGAGGTGCAAGTTGCTATCCACCAGTATAAGACGCATCACATTTTATCAGAGTTGGTATGGGCAAAGTATGGATGGCTTCGAGAATTAGAAGGCATGGAATATGTGGGTAAAGTCCCGGATCTGGAAGAAGATATGAATTGGACAAAGCAAGCCAAGGGAACCAACGCACAAGTTGGCTATGATCGCCATGTTTTGCGGTTCAAGCTAGGAAATGCAACGGGGGAGTACTGCGATACGGCAGGAAAACTCTGCTCATGCAAGTACAGTAACTGTCAAATGGATTATGCGGAATTCCAATGAGCCTAAATATATTCGAGCCCAATGGTGAAGGGAACGGGCTCGCGAGAATCCGTTTTGTCATATCATTAGTGAAGATTTTGATTCATGCTCTTTTATGTCTTCATTCGATATGCTGAACTGTCTAGCTAGCAGAAAATACTCTAAGATGGTCCCGTGGAGTGGCCTTGGAGGGTAAGGTGGTATGAGAAAATAGTCTTTCTAGGCTAGGTCTCTAGGTAATGTGGCCACTAATCGAGCTCCTCGTGTTAAGGAGATAGCACTATAGTAAATTTCCTCCCTATTTCGATATTTTGATCAGCCTCAACTCTTTCCTTTCGATCAATCACTTCTTAGGCTAGCATTGCCATATCTCGTTTTAACTACCACATTTGGGTAGCCGCCGCACAACCGGTGCTTACTGTTCTCATCTATCGCCATTCTAACGACCTATCTATCTACGCAAGTACGTTTTAGGTTTATTGGTCTCGTAGTTGTGCATTTTCGTTCTTTCAAGGAAAGCCTTTCTGGATGGCGGCCTGGCGTCTCTTTATGAGATAATTTGAGGCGCCATGTGAAGTGAAGTAAAATTTAGGAAAAATGAGAAGGGAGCAAGAATCACAGCTTTATTACTTATTCAATCTGTTGCATATGATGTACATGTCTTCTCAATTTCCAACAAACCTCCTCCCTTTTTCGTGGATGCCAGAGATGTGACTATTCCAATAGTTGATTAAAGGCCTCCATCATGTGAAGCCGAAGTCTACGAAACTAGATACTTAGAGAAAAGGTCTGGTAGCCCTATTTTCATGATTCACAGTTACTTCAATATCCATGCTTGCGATAAATGCATACCCATTTATATTTACCAGCATCGATTTCTTGGTCAAATCATATAGATTGTTAATAGTAGGTCACACTAGACTTATGCTCACGGTGCCGGAAAATTTCAGCAACCATAAGGTACGTATCATCATCCTTCATCTTATGAGGGTTGATAGCACCTTCTCCAATTCGATGTGCCCAGGCATACTCATCGTCTTGCTCATTGTCATAGTCGAATGCCTTCGAGTTATCTAGACTAACAAAATTAAATGATGCTCCAGCTTTGTGCAACAACGCGCCATTCAGTACATCCTCATGCTCGTTAAGGATAGGATCACTTTCATAAACCTGAGCAAAAACACTAATCAGGTCCCAAGACATCGTGTAGAATTGACCGCCCGCATACTCATAATCTGGGTTGTGGTGGTAGAGACGGCGACCAATCATTGTTCTCTTCGGCTGGGGATTTTCTAACAGAGGTTTGATGAATTCCTCGAAGAATTCTCGAGTATCTAGATAAGAATCGTCATCTATCTTAGACACAAATTCCCATGAGTTCCCGCACGACGCGAGAAACTTAAAGAATTCAATCGATTTGACAGTATTAGCAACTTGTGCTGTCTCATTGAGGTGCGGTAGCATAATGATATCCCCATGCGTAGCATTTTCGTGTTGAATGAGCGGCATCCAATGATTGCCTGGGTGTGAAATGACAAATCGTGTCATAATCGCTGGATGCTGATACGACGCCTGCCAGGTTGCTCGGATGATATTACGACGCCGCTGAGAACGTGCAGCAGAAATTGTCGCAATTAGCCAAATGTGGTCTCTCTCGGACGACACGTGAGGCAGACGTAACAGAGATTTGTTCGAAGAAGAATATAATACCACACCTATGAGGCAGAAGATGAAGATCAGAAGAAAGCGCCGGTGTAGAGGAGCTAGAGATCGCATTTCTGGTCGATTTAGCAAATCGTAAGTTGTAATTCGAGCTGTTATGCCTAATGATAAGTGGCATCCTTTATAAGAATCTCAAGAGTCCGATAAAACAAGGACCTAATCCCATGCACTAAAATATACCACGCGGCTGTTGGATTAAGTACTACCTCCATAAAGAATGTTGACGTGAACGAGTTTTGTTTTCCGGGTAAATCTCTAGGATTAAGCACTGGGCTGGCCAATTGTTTGGATATCTTGACCTCCCCGCCAGAGACTCCACTTACTCAAGTCAACACAGCATTTGAGAAATTAAAATACATACTCAAAGACTCAATTCGGTAGTTTGGCTGAGCCACCCATTGACATGAGCATACACCAATAGAACAGATGCTTAATACTGTTTCCATAAATTACAGTGAGAGGTAGACATTTCGGTGGAAATAAGTGATAAACCAGGCCAAAGGAAAACTCTATGAAAAAGTACAAGCCTAGATTGATAATTGAGCGGCCAGACCCTATTTGCGGATCGCTTTCCATCATAAGGTTTAGGTACCGAGATTCGTTTGTACCGAATCTAGACGCTGTCTAGTCGTCATCGTTCTATTGTGGGACTGATCGCCTGTTCTGGCGCTTGTCCATGGTCCACTGAGTGATCACCTTCCGCGGCCAACCGCTGAGAAGAGAATGTTGAGCGCGGACACTGATGTCTTCAAAGAAAAAGCGAATTGATTTAAATAATGATTAGGTCGATAAAGAAGCGGCAGTCTGGTCAGAACAGAAATCTATATCACACTTGTTTGGAGTCTCGTGTGTGAATCAATCCGGTGCATTGTAATCTGTGATGGGATCCGTTGGTGAATTACGATGGCGGCGGCGTCTGGGCTCGATATGTTTATCACCCGAGGTAGGGTGGTCAATGCCACGGGTAATGTGTTCTATACCCCCGCCGAATGCGTTAAATGGTTACCTAGGCCCACTCCGTCAGATCCAATGAGCAAGGAATAAGAGTGGCCAGACGAGGCTTTTTGATTTCTTCGAGTCTCGACCCGGTCGATGCCAATTAAACGGGCTCTTGTTGGCAAAGCCAAACTTAGTCCCACTACATTGTGATTCTGGTCACGTGCTAATTTGCCGCTTGTTGACGGAAAGGGGGGAAACGGTGGTATTTGGACTAGTGGATACTGGTATGGCTGAATACATTGACGGACCGGAACAGCTTTGCTCCGACACACCTCCCAGCTACAGGCCTCAGCTACATCCATCACATAGAATGGCCCTCTATGACGACCACAAACCTGGTGGCCCTAGAAGCTACCATATAATCGTGGGATTACTAGCTGAGATATTAGCTGGCCAGGAAGGTCCGTTATATCGAATCCTGGTAGAGCTGCTTGAATATCATCAAGCACCTTTGATCCTCTAGCCTCTCGCGAAACTTCTTGGTAATATCCTCTTTGATCTCATAATCCTTTGGTCGTATAGTCTTGTTGAGATTGAAGCACTTGCTGTACGCATGAAACCTACCGCACAGGAATGCCAGCTTGAACACCCTCGAGACATTGATGGTTGATTAGCAGCAGGTCGTATAACATCGACTTTTTTTCAATATCGCAGTCGGCAATAGATACGATATTGATCATGAGGGTTTAGGTTTATAATTCTCTTTAATTTTTATAGCTATTTTTGGTGTGGTTTTTGGACCAACTTTACTTCCGCGGGTGGCGGAAACCACCATATATGCAGATATATGGGTTAATATCACTCCGATTACTAAGCGAAAGAGATCCCACACGGCCCTGCAAGCGGCCCTGCAAGCGGCCCTGCGAACGGCCGCGCGAGGAAGGCCTTGAACAGCCTGCGAACTGCCCTGCAAACTGCCCTGCGAACTGCCCGGCTGCGTGAGGAAGGCCCTAAACAGCCCTGTAGGGAAGGCCTTAAACAGCCATGTAAGAAAGTCTTTAGAAACTACTCCCGAGCGTAGCGAGGATCACTAAGGCTTGTATATTATTTTTATAATCTGACTTCTTTAACACGTTTCCAAAGGATGGTTTGCGGAATTCTAGAAACATATACTACTTTTTATAATAATAAAATTTGATTAATTTTTAAACTTTCAATAACTAAATAAATCCTGCCTTCTGATTCCTCATATTTTTTAGTATAGATATTTTGGTGGTTAAAATCGTTGATCAAAGACCTCGTGTTTTGGTGGACTGCGGAGATCACAAGGCGGGCGTTCCTCCCGCTTGCGTGTTCCTCTTGCTTACCAATTACATTACGGCACCCGTCATCAGACCAGCCCTTGTGGGGTAGGGTTTCAGAGCTTTGTCGGCAACAGGAATGTGCCCTATAGCTGGCTTCATCACAAAAGGATTGCTGGAAAGTTGAAAAGCAGATATTGATGAGATACAGAAATGGGAATGACGGTGTTTGCGGATGCAAAAGGTGACACTGGCCACCATAACTCGTAAGGTAGCAAATGTAGAGAACAGGATTCAAGCTTCGTGGCCAAATGATGGGAACTCGGGGGCTGTGACCCGGTCGCAAGAATATTGCACGATAAAAGGAGAAGCTGTGGAGTTGGCATCCAACACAATCGAGCCGTCGGGGGCGGTGATTGAGAAAGGCAAACTGGCGGTCCCCTGTGCATTGGCAAATACCAGGCGGATTGGAAGGTACTGACCAGCCACCAGGTCAATATGCAGACTGTCCGCCGTTTCAAAGTCGGTGTACATATCCCAGTTGGTCACATTCCACCCGGTATATGCGGTGGTATTGTACCAGAAGTAGGCCACATCATCTGTGTTGACGAGGGTAACCGCATAGGTGCCCGTGGTCTCTGCGTATAGATAGCCGCGATGGTTGAGGGCGAAGTAGTCGGGTACCTTAAGATTGCCATATATATCTACTGGTGTCTCGTTCCCCGTATGGTTCACATACACATAGGATGTTGTTCCTGTGATGTTTGGGGGGGTAGACTTAAGCGCAGCGACATCAATATTATAATCGGACAAGTTGCTGTTGTACGGAATAACAGCCCCTTCACCGAAGTGATAGTATGCCCACTGAAGACCTGCATTAACACATGGTGGTGGAGTGGGACATGTTGTCGGTGTGGTTGTTGGCGTGTGTGTTGTTGTTCGCGTGGGTATAGCTGTAGGGGGAATACCCAGGCATTTGCATGCGTCATTCACTTTTACATCAGGAAATCGACTGAACACTTCTGGTGTGGGATAAGAGATGAACGGCTATACACATCTCAGTATCGGAATAGCCCACTGCCTGGGTTGGTTGGGTTCCAGCTCACATTGTGCGAAATTGAAGCCGGAGCTGTAGTAGTGCAGAGATCTATAGCGTTGGCCTGGGTAGAGCAGCAGCTTGAACGGGTCACGATACTGCGATGCAGAGGGAGATTGTTAGTCACGGTAACTAGGCACGGAAAATCATATGAAATGAAAGACGGCCCACCTGGAGGCGGAGACAGTAACTGTTGTAGCTAAGACTGACTGGCAAAACCCAGTAGCAGTGCCGTCAGACTTGAGCTGATCAACTACATTGTTTAGGGGACTGCATGTTCCTTGTGTGGTCACCCCTTGCGGCCCCTGCAGAGCGGACGCGGAGTTGACAAGAAGGATGGTGCAAGTAACGAGGTAAGCGATCATGGTTCTGCCAATGCTCGGACGCCCATCAACTATTGATGAACCCATACTCGATTCTCACGGGGATTTCCAAACATAATTTATGTATCAGGTGTCTGGAGGATATTCCAAGCCTCCTCCATAGCCGACTGCAACAGGTCTCCACGATTCTTTGTTTGACGCATTTCTGGTCGTGTTCTGCTACACTCGGGAGCCCCACTATGCGGTATGCCTCCAGCGTAGTTGAGCCACTGAATATGGCTTAAACTACCTATCAAAGCAGCATGGAAATTGCAACTAGCATTCCAATGTGCTGCTTAAGTATCGGACCAATAGCTTGAGTTAAACAGAGGTATGATTCTAAATAACTGCCTATCCCTGCATTCATGTCAAGGTGAGCGTTGGAATGTACGGGTATATACCCTACAAAATTGTTTTCAGTAGTATGTTGTAGGACTCCGATCATCACCCTTGTAATGTGCAATTTGACTCCGGTATATGCAAATGGTACTACACAAGGCGTATAAGGAATTCATGATGTTGAGGATTTCATATGCCTCTTGCCAGTGATAAACCCCCAGCTACCTTCTGTTGGGCTTTCCCAAATCTGGAAATTACCAGGTATGTCTCTGACCATTCAAACAACAACACATCATCACCGACCAGCGGGATCTCTTGAAAAGTAAGTTTTCATCTCATTCCTTCTACTGTAACTAGATTCAACGGATGGCTAGGGATTAATCCATAGAAAACCCGGTATGTTTCCTGACCTCCTTATTTGCCAAATATCCAGATATCCCAAAAGACGCAATCACTATGCTTGCTGTGGGGTCGGACGAATTCCACGGACGTGAGTAAAGTAGTTTCAGTCTGTTTTCCATTTGCGAGATTCCTGACTTCGGCCTCAACAAGGATCAGGACACCCCCGAACTAATAAACCCAGCTTTTGTGACAGCGTCATACATCGAGACCACAAGACTAATTACATAGAAGAATATCGACTGGTGCACACGATCGACCTGGGCTGCCATGCCTGAAAGCAACTCTCTAGACAGAGCGAGCTGCTCGACATGGGAAGTATTATCAGATCGTTGCCGTAACTTTGAACAACCGATTCCGATACTATTAATGCCTCTGTAATAAGATTCTCCCTACTTACTTCTATTATAAACAACGCCTCCATTTCTTCAGCATAAGTTTACATATTAATGGTAGTAAGGGTTCTGCTGCACACAGGGGGAGGGTGTCTTACACTCGGTTGGGCCGGACCAGTTGAGGCCTCGGCACTGACCATACTGCGAAGCGAGATTGGTGGCGGTGCTGATAGAGGTCTGTTCCTGGGCGTGCGCAGCAGCGATAGTTTTACCCTGAGTTGTACCCTGAGCGGTGACCGTTGCAGCGCCGGTCGAAGAGGAGGTAGTAGATGAGCTCACCAAGCTAGCTCTGTTCTATACATTATCCCTAAGTAGCGTCTTCAGAATATCCAGCTGTAATTTTTTAATAGAATTAGTCCAAAGATCAAGGCTGTTAAACAAAGTCATACTGTTATTCTAAAGACTAGGAATTTTGTATATAAAACCTAGGAATCTAATTCCCAAGCCTGTAATATTAATCTGCGCACAGCTAGATTTATAGTATTAGCATTACTATCATTACTTCTTTAGTACTACTAACTAAAAACACAGTGTTTTACCTATAAAAGAACTCAGTTTTATTTATTTAAATACTATATAAGCCTATATAATCAGCGCGCACCAGGTATACGCCTATAGAAATTACAGCAGAAATTTGGAATTTAAACTGTAATATACTATAGATATACTAGATATTTTTAATTAGATTACTATTAGTATTATAAAAAGTCTTTTTTTAGATTTAAGACTAATCTCTACTTTTTTTGTATTTCTAAATATTACTGGTTGGTATTTTGGATTTATCTGTAAATCAAAAATACTAGAATGGTTGAATACTAAATTACTGTAATAAAAAGAAAAAGGTATTAGATAATAGAAAAATAACCTATAGAAACTTAGCCCAGGCTGGGATATATAATATTACTATTATAAAAAGGTTTTATTATAATAGTATTACCAGCCGTAACCTCTGCAACCTTAGTCCTAGTAGTATTACTAAATAAGCTTAGATTACAGTAGAAGTTACTGTTACTTAGTATTAGATTATTAAAAATAAAAATATATTTAATTAGTATATAGTGTTAACTGTAAGTAGTCTTAAAGATGTACTGCTAATTTGCAGATTTCTTTTTATTTAGTATAAGCCTATTAAAGATATAGTAGGTAGTAGCTAAACACGCCAGGCCGGCAGCAACTGTAACTATAAAAGAAATATACTTTATTATTCTAAATTAATATTTAAAAGCAACCAGAAACAAAAAGAGAAAATAAATGGAAGAATGAATAAATGAATGTATAACCGCAACGAAAGTCCGACTCCAGGTCAGACTAGGCCTCGCCAAAGCCCGCGGGTTTACAGGTCGGGTTTAAACCCAACCCGGTTCTTGGCGGGTTTTGGGTTGATGGGCTCAACCTGTGGGTTGGGTATGGGTTTGGCTATCCAACCTATAGATTCTTAGCGGGTACCTGCGGGTTATTAAACTAGATAAATACTATAAGATTAGTAGGTTGTATAAATTATATAGTTTCAGCTGTATTTTTAAAATATTATATTTAGATCTAAGGTAATCTAATATAGAAGGTATCTAATTATATATAAATTTATAGTAGTTAAAACTAAAGAATTTAATTTGCCTATATATAATATATACCTAATATAGAATAAATTAATTATTATTATAATATAGATACTTTCTAACTCTATCTAATATCTATAGCTGAGTTTCTGATAAAGAATTATTTTTATTATTCTTATTATTATTATTATTCTTCTTTTTTTTAATTACTAGAACTGTTTGGTTTTTATTTATATTAAAAGTAATATTTTTTTTTTCTTACTTATTATATACTTTGATAGAACTGGTACTTTTAGTTGTTTAAAAACAGCTTCTTCTACTATTTTTTTTTATTTACTATTATAATAATTTTTATTATTACTAATCGGCTCGATACTTTCCTTAAAAAAACCATACTTTTTTTTTTAGTTAATTTTAATTTTTTTTTTAAAAAGAAATTTTTTTTTTAGATAATAGTATCTTTTTTTACTTTAAACTGTGTTGTATATCTATATAATATAAGTTCTTATATTATAATTATATTTAATAAATCTTAGTAGTAGTAGCAGATATTCTAAGCTAAATTAAAAAGTTATTTAATACCAGTACTAGTAGTAGAAATAGAAAGTATATTATAAATAAGTTTTATAAATAAAGAATATATATACTAGTTATTTTTTTAGAATATCTAAACTGGTATTACAGAAATAGTAGCTAAAGTAGATATTAAAAAAAAAACTTAAAATAAAAAATAAAAAAATAGAATATATAACTATTAAAATATTTTATAAGATTATTCTTCTTATCTTCTGGGCTGGGTTAATCTAATTTTATTATCTAAAAAAAATTAATATTATTATTTAGTTTAAAAAATCTTAGTATATTACTTTTTAACTGTTGTTTTAACTCTACTTATTAGTATAGCTTAGAATATTTAATAAGACTTTTCTAATATTTAGCAAACTATTTCAGATTCTAATCTTTACTTTAGAAAAACTGGAGCTTATATTATAGTATAAGTATTATACTAATAGTAAAAATATTATTCTTTATATTATCTGTTTTACTATAGTAATAAAAAAGCTTTGCTTATACTATATAAAAACTAGTAAGTATTAGTTTTTTTTACAGTATTTTCTTTTATTTAAACTATTTAATAGATTTTTTTAAATATTTAAAAAGTTTATTATAGATAGTAAAGATAAGATAGATAGTAATATCTTTAGTTTTTAATAATATTATAGTAAATTTAAAAAATAGTTATATAATTTATAATAAATAGTTAATTTACTGCTACTGGTTCTGATTAAGCTTAAGATATAGATAGCCATATTTTAAATAAAACTTATTAAAAAAAAATTACAGGTATTTTATATATTAAAGTATAAGAAAAGTCAAGTTCCAGCATATCCAAATATTCTAAATTAGTACTAATACTGGTAAATTAAATTATAACTTATAAAAAGCCTTCCAGTATTAAAAACTAGTATTAATAAAAACTATAAGGCTTTGGAGCTATAGTAAAAATCTTAGTAATATAATAACTTTTAAAAACAAAGTAATAAAACTAACTAATTTTATTTAATATATTAATAATCTTCTGTTTATTATATTTTAACTGTAATATCTAGTCTTAACTTTTAGTCTATTAAAGCTTAGTATTATTATTTTAAAAATTAGTTTTTATCTAACTAAGAAGCTGTTTTAAGCTTAACTAAATAATATAAGCTATATAAAAAATCCGGATAATTACTATACTATTATTAAAATCTAATATTTAAATAGTCTTTTAAATACTATTTAATAATATATTATTATTTAATATATTATTAGTAGTAACAGTAAGAACTTGGTTTATTAAATAATATTACTATAATAATTAAAGTAAAACAAAGTTTAAATAACTTTTAAAATATGATTTATACAGCAGCTTAAATTTAAAAAGTATTTTATAGTAGTTTTAATTATAATTAATAAAGTAGCCAGTTACTGCTATAAAAGCTTATTAAAAAAGTAATATCTAATAGTTAAATACTAGTAAGATTTTACTATCTTTAGAAAGCTTATTTAGGATCTGTTAGTAGTATTTAAAAATTATATTTTATAACTGGTACTGTACTATTTTTATAGAAAAAATCTTAAACTATTTTAGTACTTACTAAGTAATAAAAATAAAATTATAAAATCCTAGATATTTAAAAAGTTAAAACAGTAATTATAACTTAGTAATAAATTAAAAAATACTAGTTTTCCAGTCTAGTTAACTAACTCTGGTAGTAGGCTGGAATTTAAATATCTATATAAGGCTATTTATATTAGTATCTACTATTATAGATAAAAGAATAGTATAGTATATATTTGCTGTATAAAATTCTGGATATAACAAGTTTTAGTTTACTTTATATATAAAATAATATGTTTTTTTATAATTAAAGTTTTATTTTTAAGACTAGAATAGTCTAATATCTTTTTATAATATTTATATATTATTTTTAAAACACTATCTAAAGCTCTTACTATCTAAGTAAAGTAATTCCAGACCTTAGAAAAATATTTTATATTCTACTATATTTATTACTTTCTACCAAAATCAGTTTAAAGCTACTAAGTAATATAGTTATTAGCAGCTATACTAAAGTAAATTATATAATAATTATTATAATTAAAACAGATATAATTAAAAAAAAAGATATAGGATTTAGTAGTAGGACTGGTTACAGAAAATTAGAGTTAACCACAAACTTTATTATATATATAATATTCTATTAACTAATTAAAAAATTAGATATAATCTTATTAAAAAAAAACCGGACCGCTATTAAAAATATCTAAATAATTATTATAATATAATAATAAACAGATATTAGTAAACTGGAATATTTTAAGCAGAAAGTTATAAATAATTAATAGTAAGATTATAATCTTATAAAAGAAAAGAATCTTCTAGATTAAAAAGGGGATTAGAAATACCCTTATTTTATATTAATAGTTTATATTAATCTTATTATAAAAGAAGTTAACCTGTTTAAAAACAGTAAGAAATTAAAGCTAATTAGATTATAAAATAAATAAATAACCTATAGATAATCTATAGGTTAGATAGATTACCTGCTAAAAATCTATAGAATCTGTAGGTTATCTGCTAAAAACCCTTTTAATCTGTTTATATAGGCTAGAAAAAGCAGAGAGAGCAGAAAGAGCAAAAAAAACAGAAAAAATAGAAAAAACAGAAAAAGCAGAAAAAGCAGAAAAAGCAGAAAAAGTAGATAAATTAAATAAACTAAATAAACTAGATATCTTAGCTTTATACTTTAATATCTAAAAAGATTTATTAGTTAAATAAGGCCTATAGAATATATTATAAGTATATTCTACTAAACAATATAGATTTAAAGATACAAAAAACAAAATAATTATTTAATCTAATAATTTTATAGAATTGCTTATTCTATAAAATATATATTTACAGCTGTATATAAAAGGTATTTTACTAATAATATTAATATCTTAGTTTTAATACTTTTAATAGTTTTATTTATAAATAAAGTCAAAAGCTAGCTTTAGTATAAACCAGATTTTAGATATATTTTATATAGATATAATAATTTAAGAAGAAGAACTACTACTATAAAACCTTAATACTAATACAGAATAAAAAAATAAAAATAAGTTTGGATTACTTAAAAATTTTATATATTTTGGTATGGCCTAAAAAGGAACTTTATACTTAAATAGGTTCTTAGCGGGTAACCTGTAGGTTGACATATCCAACCCGCGGGTTGGCGGGTTCGGGTCTTGGGTCTAGTATTCAGACCCAACCCATGGGTACGGGTCCTGATGTTGGACCCAAACCCGACCCGTGGCGAGGCCTAGGTCAGACTAAGTGCAGCAAAAGTAAGTCCAAAGGAAAGAGCGATATCTTGTACGCCTGTCCCAGAGGAGGTGGCAAAATTATGGTTACTTATATACACCCGCCAAGTGCTGGCCGCAGTCCTTCATTTTCCAACCGTAGCCGGCGTCTTCGAGACAATTTGTTTTACCATTCTTTGACCGTTTTCCAGTCCACATCTATCTACCGAGCCAAAGTCCGCCTAGACCCTTCCGGGCATGCATCATGCCTGCAGTCTGGCAACCTAACATGGTCTTGAAGTCGTAGTGTGCTTTGGAACCCGCTGTAAGGGCAAGTGTCTTCGGCTGATCCCGCCTCCTGCCGGGGCCGCTAGATACCTAGGTACTACCTAGTGGGTATAGGTAGTTAATCCCCACACTCATCCAGATATTCATTGTAGGTCAGTCATCGGCTATCCTGTCCTTGCCATTAGCCACCTGTATGGCCCCTGGCAGCTGTATCGGCTGGACTAGGCAATGCATAAATTGAAGGTCAATGGCCAAGAAAACGAGTCCCCCATCCAGATCCGCCTGATTTGTCCGATCAAGGGAAGTACACACAGATTCCACTTCTACTTTGCTTTAAATTGTTAGGCAGTATTGGCTAAGGGCACAAGGCCCGCCCCGGGCATATTCATATAGGAGTTGGCTCGGTACTTATCGCGCGTCAACACCCGTTGTGTTTCAAGTCAACGGTGCGAGGTCCGTCCCGAATGTCGACAACCTGATTTCCGACGTGTAGCTATTACATGCTTACCACATGCGGAGGAGCCAGAGCTCCCACCGGTAATCGCGTTTTTGTATTGGTCACGGTTACATGGCGTTCGCACCCGCTCTGCTCCCGAGACTTTGAATAGCTGTCGTGGCTGTATATGTGCTGTGCGTGAGACATTGCGCAAGGTTCATATTGGCGGACAACATGTGCTTTAAGTAGACAGCTTGTTTGGGTTTGAACACTTCACACATCTGGCAAGGCTTCAAGGTTGACTCTTGTAGTAGAAGACGAAAGGGTATGCAGTGCAGTGCAGTGCCGTGCAATGCAGTGGTGCCAGTGGGAGGTACGACCGGATCGGGGAGGGTGGGGCATAAGGCCGAGTGTCTTGGAACGGTGGACGGACCCTGGATTACAACCCTCTTAGTCATCCCCTGAAACACACCTATTGTCCAGAATCGCCCGATATTCGCCTAGGTGGAGCCAGAGAATCTCACTCTGGGTATCGGTAAATGCTAGGTAGTGTATCTGCCAAGCTTGCTCCTGCCAATAACTGGTGTTTGATTTGTAGTAGAAATGGCTAGCGAAGAAGTTCAATTCCCGCGGAAGGACAGAGCCCTGGTCGAGAGGGATGGTCCGAGAACCATTTTCCCACGCAGTGTATTAGTACTGCGGTAATTGCTAGACACGACGGCTTTGCTCCAGCCAGAAGCCTTCGTTGCCGACTTTAGCCTTGTTGCGGGACGAGTAGTTCACGCCCGGGCTAAATCCCGTTCATTATATCTATTTCGTACGCCACCGAGAGAACTTGGCTGGGTCCATAAGGTAGGGCATAGACAGCACGACTGGTGCGGATAGCGCTTGCGGCCCAGAACATCTGAGGGCACCACCAGAGGCTAGCTATTGCCGCGCACTTTCATCGGCTTGACCCGATGGCCCCCCTAAAGAAGGAAGCCAGTGATTAAGCTGAGGCTATTTCAGGGCCGAAGTCTCTTTCAGTCCTTATCGTAAGACCGCCATCCAGAAAGAAGATCAAGAAAAGGGCCTCAATCTGTTAATCTTCTTTGGCCTAGGCCTTGGCCTGGCGATAAAGGTTAAGGTTGTTTCACAGTACTACAAGCGTAGCCTCCAATACTAGACTGACCGAGGAAGATACTAATAAAAAGATACTCGGCATATCCTTCTTTTTCTCGGCGGGTGAAGATTATAAAGGTAGGTGGCTGGCGAACCGGTGTTTCTACCTTCTAACCCTCAGTCTTCCACACGAATCTATTCTTTCTAGTTGTTATCATAGTATTTATTCTTAGTCAAGCATATCTAATTGTACTAATTATATTAGCTTTTTTATAAATATTTATAGCAGGACCTGCTATTCTTCTACTATATAAAAAAGTACTTTTATATCAATATTTTTAATAATTTAGAAATATATTATCAGCAAGTAGACTAAAAATATTACTATTTTAAATATCATTAAATAAAATACTGTTTTAAATAAACGTAAAAATAGTATTAAGAGCGTGGGATTTTACTATTTATTATATAATACTAATAAAGCTGAAGTAAAATATACTAAAACCTATACAACTAGTCAGTTTAAACTTGGCTAGAATGCTAAAGTAGAATTCTTTTTACGGAAGGGCTATTAGGGCGGCGGCCTGCAGTAAATACTACGTTTTTTTTATCTTCCTCAGCTGGCAGAGAGGCTGACAGGAATTTAAACTTATTATTTAGATTTTTAATTTAAAATATTTATTTTACTGCTAAGGGAGACTAGACTTTGGCTATTTATAGCTGGACTTTTAACTCTATTACTAAATAATATATTATCAAGTTATATAGCAGTAGAACTCTGGATAATAAGTATATTCTGAAGTAGGTAAGTAATAGTAGTATTTATAATATTTATAATCCATTCTACTATAATATTCTAAAGATTAATAGATTAATCAATTTTAGCTAGTACTAGTTGATATATTACTTCTACTGCTTTACTGGCACTATTAATATAAGTACTTATTTTTGATATTAAAAAAAATTAGGTTTGAGCTTTAATATCCTAACTTTTTAGATAGTTACTCTAAAAGACTTTTCTAGCAAAGGGTACCTGGATTTTACCGTTAGGTAGATAAAATCTAAGGTTACGGGACCACAGCCGTCGGCGGGCATGCAGTAGAAGCCAGATACCATCTGTGCATTCAGAAGCAGGAGACCCTTTTCCTTTCTGATCCTTTTTTCTCTAGTGGCTAGTTCTCTGTTTATCTCTCGCATTTGTTCCTGTTATCAGTTGGTTTGTAAACTATGAAGAGATTCCTCTCCGAACTGTCTATCAACATCGACAGCATCTTCAACTTCATCTGTCGAGGGTAAAGGTTCGAATGCAAATGCAGACAGTCAAGAATGCCACGCTGTACTTGCCGCTCCGGTCTGCTAGCTTTCCGGCTAGTCTTGTCAGAACCCTCCTTTGCCATTTATGGAAGAAATGAACAAAGGACATTGCTTATGCATGCGGGGATCCTGGAACTTCCACGTTGTCCTTTGTCTGCAGCCTGGGAACGAGCAGATAACAAGAGAGTATATAATCAAGGTCAGTGATTTCGATCACCCACGGTGTGCAGTCCCGATATGCAATTCGTAAGTAGTGAAGTACCTCTATTCGTTCTAGCAGCAGCAATACCGAATCGGTGATTCGGCATCCTTGAATCTTTTCCCGGGGCGTCAATTGATCCATGTGCACGGGTCCAAGGACAAGGACTTTAAGGCAGGCCAGGAACGGTTGCAGGCAATTTTTCAGCTGCTGCGAGGGGTTTATCCTGACGCTCCGCCTTTTCATGGGATCATCTCACGCGGGACCGAGACCTTCCCGATGCTGCGCTGTTACCGCGAAGCTGGCCCCGGGGACGAGCCTGAGAACATCACAATGTGACCGGAATGTATTTCTCTAAGTTCAAGCCCCTGGGCTACGCGAAAAAAACACCTATCCTGCACCTGTTGGTGCCTTGTGAGCATGGTAAGCACGAACAATGGAAGAAGAAAAGTGTGCCCGTGTCCAAGGTCCGGCTGCAGCCGAGTAATATTCCTGATTCTCACATCACCCTGGGCTCTGCTGCGGACGCAGATTATGTGGTGATGAAAGTGACGATATTCAGCCTGCAGTACATAATCACCATTTACGCTATGTGGTACGATGTCTTGTCTAATATCATTGATGCGCAGTTATATCACTGGTTACTGAGAAACAAGCGCCTCTACGGGATTTAGCTTCGTATAATCATCATCTAGCATTGTGCCCTAAATCAAAACTTTCCCTACTCTTTGCTTCCGGCCACCTTTGTAAGCCAGTTCCTCGGTCCTCCTTACCCATACTAAATCTTCAAGAACATAAACCACTTTTATGACAAATTTCGCTCTCGCAAAGTAGGCCCTTTGTCCTCGAGACCCCAACCCAACGTTCATTCTGATGGCAGTCTCATTGTTTGATTTCTTGCGAAGACGACTCAAATCGACAGGGGCCTCAGCTCGTTGTCCTCGACGTCAGATTGAGTGTCTCCGGTAAACTCGTCAACGGAATGCTCGTTAGTTTGCTCACGATTTCCTTGCTTGCGACCAGACTCTTTGCGGGTTGACTGCTTGCCATCGGATTGTTTGCCTTTGGACTGATTATCCGAGTCTTCTTCCTTGGAGTTTTCATCAATGAAATTCTCGTCGTCGGATTGCTTGCCGTTGGACTTCTCGCCATTGGATTTGTTGTCCGAATCCTCCTCATTGGAATTCTCGTCGTCGGATTGCTTGCCATTGGACTTCTTGCCATTGGATTCGCTATCAAAATCCTCCTCATGAGAGTCCTCGTCGTTGAATTCTTTGCCATCCGACTGCGCGTTCAAGGAGTTGTTTTCTGATTCCTCCTCATCAGTCTCCTCCTCATCAGGATTCTTGCTGCTGGATGATTTGCGGTTCGAGTGCTTGCCGCTGGACTTGATATTGGAGTCGCTGTCCTTGGGATCCTCGCCATTGGACTCTTCAGCGGCGGAGGTTTGGCTCTTAGAACCCTTGTGGATGGTCTGCTTGTGACTCGGTTGCTTGTTGTTTAATTCCTTGCTGTCGTTCACAAGCTCGCCGTCTTCTTGGTCTCCATGGGAGCTGTCGCCGGATTGCTCATTGTTGGTTTCGTCGCCATCGTTTTGCCGGGCAATCCGTTGGCTCCTGTTTCTGAAAAGCCTGGCATGGGATCGCCTGCTGATCGTTTGGTGGCCATCTTCTTTATCAGTGGATTGTTTGTTCTTTGAGTGCTTGACCCCTGACTGCTCGCCATCGGTTTGCTTGCCACTCGATCCCTTGTCGCCAGATTCCTTGTCACCGGAGTCCTTGTCAGCAGATTTACTTTTCTCAGCCTGCTGGTCTTTGGATAACGCCTCATCCAATTCCTTGTGATCATATTCCTTGTCATTGTATTCCTTGTCATCGTATTCCTTGTCATTGTATTCATTGTCATCGTATTCCTTGTCATCAGAATTCTTGCCTTTGGACTTCTTGTTGCTTCCTGAATCCTTGATCGGTGGGCTGCAAAAAGCAGGACATTCAGCTCCAATGCACCTTTTTTCCCCTGGGCCCGCCGCACCCCCTGCCAGGATACCCACCTCGCCACAAGGCGGCGCTGCAGCAACGCTATCAGGGACCGGAAAATTTGGGGGAAGAACGATGCCCACAACGCCTAGGGCCAAGGCCATCATGAGAAGGACAGGAGTATGAGGAGAGGGCTGAAATCGTGCCATGGTGGAGAAGAATTTGGAATCGCCGGTGCTTTGGGGTCGATCGAGGAAATAGCGATGATTCCAGTGATGCAGATAAAAACGCGTTGGAGAAGAAGCAGATAGGCTGCAGGTAGCTTGCCTTTTAACCTTCAACAATTAGGGGAAAGCTGCCCGATGATCTACCATATCGGAAGTAGGAAATGGCTTCCTGAGAAATGGAATCTCTTACCGACTTCCTATGAATGACACCATTGTATGAAGCCGAAAAAAATTCCCCCGCTCCCTCAACACAATTTATTGTTTGCTTCCATTTGGTAGGCCCGGTACCACTGGCCGGTTTAGCTAGTTTTACTACCAAAGGTTCCGGTGTCAACTTTGCCAATCACGCGAGATGGTCAGTTGCGGAAGTGTTTAGGAAATGCCTTTGTGATTTGGAACATACGACATCTACCACAAAGTGTCATCATCTTAAGGGAGAGTGTCGGCAGGCAATTCAACCATCCCACATGATCAGAGGAAGACCTGGAATTGACAGAGCTACTCTGCATCTTGTTTGTCACGTAGCAAGCGTTGGGGGCGGATGCTGCTTGATTGAGTCAGCATCGGAGGTGCTGGAATGCGCATACAACTAGCTCATTCCGCCCTCAATCTCTGGAAGGATACAATCTTTATAAGATGTGTGGATTGTGTGGAATGGGGTCAAAGCAGGTGGTTTGCTTTGTATCAATGACATGCATGATCTGACCTATTCCTTCAACAATCCTCGGAGGTTCGTCCGCCTACGCACCGGGATGCGTCACCACTGTGACAGCACCATGACGCTCTCTACAGTGCAGCCACCAACGAAAAGCTATCGATGCCGGGACCACCTACTAATCCAGATTCCGGCCAGTGAGTTGCCAGGTCCAGGATTCGCTTGGGCTCTGATGGGGGGCATTGGGGCTGGATCAAAATCCATATCAATGTCGTCAGCAGTGTTTGCCGCAGACACAGCGCCCACAACTTGAAGGGAAACAGCCAGAAGTCAAAGACCGGCTCCATCACGGCCTGTAGATCCTTATGTTGATACTTATGTGGGTTTGCTCCGACCGGCCATTGGCTATGACGCAATATCGCTGTCGGTCCCTGGCTGGCTCGACTCGTCGACGGCTAAGACGTGGGCGCTGCAATGCATAATGGTGCCATACCTTCAATCGAAGCTTTAGTGGAAGCAAAAAGTAAGGAGGGAAAGGTGAGTTGCATCGCCTTGGTTTCTCGAATAATGTTCTAAATCTGTAGGTAGGTTTGAGACGCCATCTTGCTTGGAGTTTGAGGAAAGGAAATCGATGTGATGCAGGTTGATATTCACTCTGACCCTCTGCAGGAATATTTAGTCTGATACTTACTGATACTTACCAGGTGACTGAACTCAGATGAGTCGGATGCAGACCACTGAGATTGATGCCGATAAGCGGGCGCCAGTCATATGTAGCCCTAAACTGCATTGGTAGATGACGTATATGTGCTCAGGGTGCTCAGGGGTACAGTACAGTACAATACAGAACGATACAACACCTCCTCTCTACCGAGTATTAACTGCGCTAGCCCGATGGAGTTAAACGTTGTCTTCCGCCTCCGACCGTGAATCGATTTCCTCCCTGATATCTTACGGAGATATGGATCTCTAATTCAATATCACGGGTGTAGATGCCGGGCACATCTGCATCTGCATTGGGTAGGCAGGTCATATCAATGCCAGTCACCAAGCGCAGGCGGGTGAGGAAGGCATGCATTCCGTGCCATCAGCGCAAGCGAAAATGCGACACCGTGTATCCTTGTGGGATGTGCTCCACCCACGGCTACAACTGCACCTACACCTACACCGACCACCGTCCTCGGCCACCAGCCCAGGGCACAAACCTCGAGCGTGACGATGAAACCCCCAACCGGGTTCAGATCGAGCCAGTTCCCTCGCCATCCCGAGGTCCCCTTCACGCCGTGGCTGGGGGGCCATCTCCCGGCATCTTTGACGAGCAAAAGTTTCGATACTCGGGGGCATCAGCGGCCATGGCATTCCCGCATATTCTGGGCGTGGCCCTGGGCTCCGAAAACCCCCCGAAGATGCGGTCGTTTGCTTACAACTTTGGCGTTCGCCCCGAAGAAGCATCCAACGCTCACGGCTTCCTGGGGGACCTCATCTCGGAGGAAGACCTTGGCTGCTTCTCGAGCATGTACTTCTCCGTACTGGGTCCCATCGGCGACGTGATTGACCCTACCACCTACACTCAGCGGTGCTGGGACTATTACCGTAGTTCCGGCAACAATCCAGTCGCCTTTGCTGCTGTGGCCGCCGGCGTGGCGGCCCTTGGATCCTTCCTATCCCCCAGAAGACACCCACGGGAGTCGGACCTGGTGCAATACGCCAAGGCTATTCTCGATGATCCTTCCTCCATGCGTCTGCATGGCATCGACCACATCGTTGCTTGGGGTATGCGAGTCTTTTATCTCCGAGCCACGACCCGGCCCAGTAATGCTTGGATCGCTTCGTGCACACAGATGCATCTCTGCGAGGCCATCGGCCTGCATGAGGAAGTCACCATTAAGAGGATGGCCTCCATGGCTAGCGCCGCCGTCCTCGGTCATAGTGCCGACCGTCTGCGCAGAATCTTCTGGGTCTCGTGGGCTGGGCATAACATCTTGTCATACGAGTACGATCTATCCTCGGTCGGATACCGGACCGTGACTTGCCAGCCCATCATCTCCGTGCCAGGGTCCGTGGCTGATCAGTTTGTACAACTCGCTCACATCATTCCTTCGCCCAATGCAGCGTTGAAGTACAACACACAGCCGTCTAGTTCCACACAGGAGCTATATTATCGCCTCAAAGTCCTGACTGAGTTCAAAGTGACACATCCGTTCCTGGTGGTGACGAAGGCGGATCTTGCGTTTTGCTTTTACCGACGGCTCTACCAACTCAAGACCCAGATACCGGACGAGATCATCAAACTCGTCATTGACAGTGGCAGCGCCGCAGTGGAGGCAGCTAAGAAGCAAGCTGACCAAGGTCATCTGTTCTGGAACGCGATTGGCAGCGTCTTCCAATACTGCTGCATCCTGTTGGCCATTGACACCCCGGTAGCTTTCCCCCACATTGACGGGGCATTTAAGGGCTTGGAGCACCTTGTCAAGGCTGCCGATACCGGACTGACGCGGGAAGCGTTGTCGATGGCGCGGCACCTCCTCGGCCTGACCATGACCAAGAAGCGAAAGGAACTGGCTCAGTTGGAAGCTGTCGAGGCAGGTTATGAGTTTGGTCACACACCGCCGACATGCGAGGCCAATCCTGCGATGCCAGACATGAGTTGGGAAATTGACTGGGACCAATTTTTCATTGAGCCATATTTGTCGATGCTCGGTCCTGACCTCCCTCTATGAAGACACCGATTGAGGGCGAAGTGCATACCTAGTACCGACTCACCCGAGTCACTCACAATTCCAGATTGTATAATGATATTATACATTACATTTTCATAGAGAACTTAAATGTAGACCCCGGGCGAATCATTGATGAAAATGACCATAGGCCACGCCGAATCTGCCCAGTTGGGTCGGCGGCGGGCTTAATTTGCGGCTATTGCGGAGTTGGCTTCCTTATAGCCGCACGAGCCAATCAGGAAGTGTTCTACATCCCCCTGCGCGCGGCCCAGCGCGGATCTTGTCGACGGGCTGAGGCACGGAGAAGAAGATAAATAGATGGAGGTATTCCATGTATCACCTGGAGAAAGAACTGATACTGTAACTTTCACAAACTTTGAACCTAACGAGCACCTCATTGAGCAAGAACACCGACAAGCAACCGGCTCCCTGACCACCATGCTCAAGTACGCCAACGACCAGCCCGCCGGCTTCACCAACACCATTGAAAGAGTCGCCATTGTTGGTGTAAGTAAACCTCAGAACCACATGCAGAGATACAGCACACCTGACCATGTTATTCAGGCTGGGGGTACGATTGGATCGCACATCGCCAAGGCGCTTTTGGCCACCGGAAAACACACTGTCACAGCAATCTCCCGTAAGGACAGCGACAACAAGCTTCCCGAGGGTGTCCAAGTCGCCTTGGTTGACTACGACGATGAGGCCACCATTGTTGCAGCCTTCAAAGGCCAGCAATTTTTGATCATCACCATGGCCCCAACTGCGCCCCGAGACACTCACAGCCAGCTTGTGCAGGCGGCTGCCAAGGCCGGCATTCCATACGTAATGCCCAACGGATACGCCGGCGACATTGAAAATATCGAGTTTGGCAAAGACACATTGCTGGGGCCTGTCGCCAAAGACAACAGGGACGAGATTGAGAGGCTGGGAATGCATTGGATCACAGTCTGCTGTGGATTCTGGTACGATTACAGCTTGGCGGGTGGAGAGGCGCGCTTTGGGTTCGATTTTGGCCACCGTTCCCTGACGGTCTATGGCGATGGCAATGTCGTGATCTCGACGTCAACATTATCGCAGGTGGGACGCGCCGTGGCTCAGCTGCTGAGCCTCAAGGAGCTTCCCGAGGATGAAAGTGACAACAGCCTTACTCTGTCTACATTCTCAAACAAGGGCGTGTACATCAAGAGCTTTGCGGTCAGCCAAAACGAGATGTTCGATAGCGTAAAGCGCGTGACCTCTACCATCGATACGGATTGGACAATTACTTACCAGGATACCAAGAGGCGGTACGAGGATGGCTTGATGCAGGTTAAACGGGGGAATATGTCGGGCTTTAGCAAGATGCTGTACGCTAGGGCTTTTTATCCACAGGATCCTGCTGATCTCTCGGCCAAGGTGCAGAATGAGCTGCTCGAATTGCCGGCTGAGACGCTGGACGAGGCTACCAAGGTAGGAATCGACATGGTCAAGGAGCTGCAGCTCCGAGTTCAGCGCATGGCAGCCTAAGGCAGAAGAAGAGTGGATGCTCTGAGATATGGGCTTCTGTAGTGTTGATGTGTGTCTATCACTCGGAGGACCCCAATCGACGCGTGGCTTCCTTTGCGTGGGATTCCGGTTCTATATTCCACAAATACCGGGCCCCGCCACGCTTGGTTTGCCTTGGTAACACGTCTTACCTTTGCTAAACTCGAAAGACATATTCGGATGAAGCTTGGTGTAAGGTTCCTAGTGTAAAGCATCCTAAAGAAATGCAAATAAAATCTTTACAACGTCGGGAAAATGGAGAATATTGCCATGAAACAATGATTTGTTCATTTAGTGATAGAGCCCCCTTGGTTTGGGGTCATTTCAACTTTTTTTTATTTTCTTGTTTTCAACATTTATCCTCGGAAAGGAAGATATAGAGAAATTCTACCTCCTCATCAGTATCTCAATCTTCTGCCAACCAACCCGACATTAGGCTCGAGTGTGGCAGGAAGGTTAAGTTTGCTCCAGACCTTATTTCTTGTCCTCGTATTCCTTAGGTGGTCGTGCCGGGCCTGCAGGCTGAGAGGTACCGGAAGTGTCGTAAGTTCCACGTCCCATTCTGACCAGGTTGAAAGGTAAGAGAGAGATAAGGCTGTGTTGCCGATGTTGGGACGGTGTCTAGTATGTGTTAGGCTTGCCTCTTTGGCTATTGAGGTTGAGATGCAGACTAAAGATCAGGATATTTGCGGGCTTATATAGTTTGCTTGCAGGGAACAAGGAAGGAAACAGATTACAATGCCACACATGCTTTTGACCAAGTAAAGAAGGAAGTTCCGGTTTTGTACAATGAATACTTACCAGCAGTACCGGGACCTAATTTGTACCAAGGGGATTGCGTTCTTTGTCAGACACGATAGTTCAAGGGATTCGACATGAACCACAGTGAGAACAAAGCATGGAGGACAGAGTCTATTTGATGCTCTTTGACCCATCATCATTCACAGCATTACAAAGAACTACACACAAAAGCATAAAAACAAGGGTCTGCAGGATATGGAGTCAAAAGCAGGGTATGCAATATTGACAATTCGGTCTACCTAATTCAAGGCCTAGCATCGATTGCTGTAGATGGCTTTTCCGAAAGGAAGAGAGAGGACAAAAAACATTGCACCGCCGACAATGAGAAATACTTATGAGAGTAAACCTATCGAACAGCCAAATTTATGGCAGTATGTCACAGTAATCAGTCTCCCCCCACGAGTAAGCCTTACAGGTGGTCTTGCACAATAATCAATGAGAAGTGCCAAGACAGGTGCTAAAAGTCCTGGCTTGAGAATTAGCAACCACATACGAGGAATCGCATTGGTTTTCCCCCTTCTGATTACTGACTCATGTCCGGCGGGACTCCCTGGCAGCCCTAAGAGTCACAACCCGGAACACCGCTAATTGGTACCGAGCCACCCCATGAGACAGTTGTGTGGAGCGACTAGGCAGAGTTCATGTCCCGACGAGCCACACCGGTGGCATTCCTGGCGAGATTGGCCTGGAAGAACTGGGTGAGCCTGGTGAAGGGGATGAGGTCGACGCGGTCGTAGAGGTCAACATGGCCGGCACCCGGAATCCAGAGAAGCTCTTTCGGTTGAGCGGCTCGGGCATAAGCATCCTCGCTGAACTCCCGGGAGTGAGCCTGGTCGCCGGAGATAAACAACAAGGGACGAGGAGAGATGGATTCAATGTCATTAAAAGGATAAAAGTTCATGAACTTGAGATTGCTGGTCAAAGTCGGGTGAGTGGTGAGCTCCGGAGTCGAACCGGCCGGGGTGAATTCACCACGAGAAGTCCGGTAGAAGTCATAAAACTCCCGTGCGACGGCTGGGGTGTCAGCGGTCAGCTCGTTGGGTGTACCGCTAGTGTATTGGGTCTGACTTGGGTCCTCCAACTCGGTCCAGCGATGTTGCGCGGCGTCGGCAATGATAGCCTGGCGCTGGGTGAGATTCTGGGAGTGCTGAAGACCATTCCGGTTGACAGAGCCCATGTCGTACATGCTCGCCGTCGCGATGGCTCGAATCCGCGGGTCAATCTTGGCTGCGCTGATGAGAAAACCACCACTGCCACAGACGCCCACTGCGCCGATGCGCTGGCGATCGATTGAGACCAGGTTCTGAGTGCCAAGGTAGTCGACCGCGGCGCTGAATGCTTCAGCATATAGGTCAGGCGAGACAGCATTGCGCGGCTCCCCGGAGCTTCCTCCCCAGAACTGATGATCAAGGGATAAAGTGACAAAGCCCTGCTCGGCGAGCTTGGTGGCATATAAATTAGCGCTCTGTTCCTTCACGGCACCCATCGGATGGCCAACGATAATGGCTGGTGCAGCGCCCCCATTCTCAGTGAGGTTGAGGGGAACGAAGAGATTCCCAGCCACAGTCATCTGGTATTGGTTCTTGAATGTAATGGGCCGGAGGGTAACGCTGTCACTCCGGTAGAAGTTGTCGGCACCATAGGACATGTTCTGAGCGGTTGCTGGTAGGGTATACAGCAAGGTTGGTAAAAGGCTCAGAGCGGCTGCAACTTTCATGGTGATTCCGTTAGCTTGAAGTTGAAGGTCCAAGAACGAGAAGATGAGTTGATATCTTTCAGGTAGGACAAAAGACAGGTTTGACCAGCATACTTATGTATCTACAGGTCGTTGCTCTACGCCATTGGCCTCGATTAGAAGACGTGTGTCCCCGGGTCTCTCATGCAAGTTGCTGACATGTGGGGCGACACTCATTCACGGAACCCTAACCATTCAGAGTCCCCAAAGCTTACAGTTCGAGGTCAGCTGCGACCTTGGCAAGGAACCCAGTGTTCGACCCGAAACAGATAAAAAGCCTGTTTGCATGGTCATTGCCATTTCCTGTGCCTCCTCCTTTTGACACTTTTCCAATTCACGATAAGCCACGATCCACGTACGCGGCTTCCTCCACCATCCAAGCCTTGATTAGATATGGCTCCTTACGTTTATACCGGGCCGGTCAACTGCGACCAGGACTTTGCTTTGACACCAGCAATCTGAGAGACAAGCTAGCCATTGTCACAGGAGGTCCTTCGTCCAAAGCCCTTTCCTGCTCCCAACCATGTCTGAACTCAGGAACGAACAGGGGCTAGTGGGCTAGGTGAAGCTTACGTGTGAGTGCTGGTTGCTGCAGGGTGAGAACAAGGCTGAAGTTTCTTTCACATCTTCCAGAGTCAATGAGTATCATCGACGTCAACATCAAGGGCCCCTTGTACACGGCCAAGTTGGCTTCGCACTACTTCATCCGTCAGAATGGCACCACACCCACCCGTGAGCAGGAGGATACCTGCCTGATTCTCATCGGGTCAGGAGCAGCCTTCCTGGACTGTCCCCGGGGACCGCAGTACAGCGCGAGTAAGTGGGGAATGCGAGGAATCATGCATTCGCTGCGGCGGACCACGTACTACTACGGATCGCGCGCCAACCTGATTTCTCCGTGGTAGGTTGCAGAGGCGTGCATGCTGTACATGGCGTCATGGCCTGTGCTAACATATGGCGCTAGAGTACGTTCGAACCAATATCCTATCGGACGAGGCGTTCGCCCACGTCTCCAATGTCGGGGTGCAATTCGCCACTACTGAAGATGCCGGGCAGTGTCTGTTGCGGGTGCTCAGTGACCCCACCGTCAACGGTCATTCGTTCTTCGTCACGGCGAGGAAGTGGGCAGCGAGGGGCTTCATGCACCTGGATTTGGAGGATTACCCGGGAAATGCGCTGCTTAGGGAGATCCAGACCGAGCAGATGCTGAGTGCGCCGGTGTCGGCGGGCTTGTTTGTGTAAATAGAAGTCTTTCCAGGGTCCTTGGGGAGCAATGAAGACGTATAGTTCACCATGGATACATTAATCATTGGTTTCTTGGGTCTCTTGGGAATGTCGATCCGTTGGGGGATGTCAGCATGTTTCATGATTACCATGGTAGAAGAAAATGAGTCCAAGTGGGGCTCTTGGCGTAAGCAAGCTGCATTAGCGTCGTACCTTGTCTCCAACCGAGATTCCACCGAATGCTGACTCTGGGATGCAGCCATAGGCCACGGTAATAGGGCACTACCTCTCAATACCCTCAATGCCTATCATCATTGCTTGGCCGACGGGACTGGAACCTTCTACCTTGCATCACTATCAGACACCCTCGAGGCTGTGCTCGCACAATACGCTACTGCTCCGAGTAGGAAAGATACTGGACACCTCAAAGGAGGCTGTGCTTTACTCTAAACTGGCCCTTTAATACTTGTGCTTGGCGGCGTCATGGCCCAGTGAGACGGCTTACGGTATCCGAAGTAAAATCCGAGCACATCGGCATTGACTAGCATCAACCACATCGTTTGTGTACAAAAAATACTGTTGCCTAAGCACTTTGATACATTGCCATGATTGTAAAGCAAGTGCGGTCTTGAGTAGAGTTCTGCAGTCACCAAGCCTTTCGGTGATATAGTTCTGATATCAGGCCCGATGCTTGAAAAGGGGGCTTGATGATGTGCGAAAGTCAGAGCCTCAATTCATTCTCAAATAATCATGTTCCATTGCCTTGTGGTCTTTTTGCTGTACTCCGTATTACTTATCCATCCGGCCATAGGTAAGTGAACCGTCGCAAACTTGCGTTTTTATAAGCCGGCTGACCTGACTAGGCCACTCAACACACACCCCCAGAGCAGAACGTGCAGCCCGAGTAAGAGATATTCACCTTCAGACTCCCTCGGAGGGTGCTCGGGTAGCAAAGGTATTGAACCTTACATTCGTCATTGACGTACATGATGTCAGGGTCCGGCTGCAGCTGGAGCCCAACCGTGCCATCATCTCGAAAGATGCCCATATTCATTATCTCGATGGCAGTGGAAGGCCTAAAGAGGTTGATTCCTTTGCCGATCACCAGGGAAGAGTCTTCTATGGCGATGCCTGGGTATCTTCCACGAACAGCTCGTGGCATCCAGCTGGCCGAGCCCGTGTGTATCTGATCCGTGATGGAGACAATCCGTTGTTTGAGGGGACTGTAAATCTGTTTAGTCGGTACTATGAGCTCAAAGCCGTCACCGCCGTCGATGGCTCGAACAATACCTCCATCACGCACGTGGAGATCACCGCGCCCGATGGAGTCCTGGACCAGTTGCGAGACTTACCTACACGTACAGTGCAGGATAGTCGCACTTTTAGGGATGTCACTGTCTCGGCAGCCGCAGGAGTCGTGACGCATGGCCGGGTTTCATCGCGCCAGTACATGGAAAATTTCGACGAGGTGCTCCAACACATTGGCAGCACTGCCGGATGTCCCACCTCGCGAAGGATTGCTCTCATTGGCCTGGCCACGGATTGCACCTTTCGAGATACCTTTGGGTCGAGTGAAGAAATGCGACGAGGACTCATCGGCATGGTCAATGCAGCTTCAGAAGTGTTTGAGCGGACTTTCAACATCTCCCTTGCCATCAGAAACCTCACCATCAATGACGAAGCCTGCCCTGAGCATGCTTCCGAGACCACGCCCTGGAACGTACAGTGTTCCGCTGGGGACATAGACTGGCGTCTCCGACAGTTTGCCTCCTGGAGAGAGACCCAAGACGAGACGAATGCCTACTGGACCTTGATGACAAACTGTCCAACCAACAATGTGGTGGGTGTGTCTCTGGTCGGGGGGCTGTGCAACCTCAATCAAGGTGCCAACGTCGTGGCGCGCACTTTGAATCAATGGCAGGTTTTTGCGTGAGTGTCCGAATTCTGCTTCTGTTCGTTGCTAGCCCGATTCAAACTGACGCTTCTTGGGTCTCCACAGCCACGAATCTGGGCATATGTTTGGAGCGATCCACGACTGCGAATCCCCGGCCTGCTCTTCGTCTCGCCAGCAATGCTGTCCCCTTTCCTCCTCCATATGCGACGCATCTGGTGCCTATCTGATGAACCCATCGTCATCTTCTCGACAGACCACATTCTCACCCTGCAGCATTGGGAACATATGTTCCTTGATCGGCAACCGACAGGTGCGAGCCTCGTGCCTTGCGGATGATAGCGACCGCAACCTAACTATGATCACAGCAGACGGGTGCGGAAATGGTATCGTCGAGGAAGGGGAGGAGTGCGACTGTGGTGGACATTGTGAGGAGGACGCATGCTGCGATGGGGTCACATGCCGCTTCAGGGAGGGGGCAGGCGCTCAGTGTCAGAGAGATAATGGAAGTCAATGTCAAGGCGACAGCTGTAACAATCAGCAGTCAGCACACTCTTGGTTCGACCGCTACCGGTCGCTGATAATTGGACTGGTTGCTGGAATCGGCGGAGGGTTGGTTCTTGGGTTGTTGATTGTCTTGATCTGGTCCTGCACTACTCCTCGTCATCGCGCGGGGTCCAGAAAGCGCGTGGCTGCGGCAGCCCAGGGGTAGTCTGCGTCGCACAGTTCAAAGCCAGAAGAAGTCTAATTAACAATATTCATTCCTGCGTTAGCTTTAGAGGTCGCAATGGCTTTGATCCTGAGCGCATGATGGTTTCCTTGTGTAGCTAGGTGGCTAGATGGCTCGGTGGCTTCCTTAGATGGCCATTGTAACCCTAACTGGTGCCAACGCAGTGCAGGAGCTTCTCTCTTTGCCCGCCACCAATTGGTGGACACGAGCAATTCGGGCGATCCCACGAGTAGCCAGCGCCATTTGCGCACGAATTCCTCGGTTGCCTCCCAGTTCCAGGGGTCCCATGGCGCTCCCCAGACCACCAGGGAGGCCCCCGTATTGTGGGTGTCCCAGAAGGCCATCAGATCCCGGCACAGTTCATCCTCGTCGAGCCGGTCTCCGGCGAGAATCATGACCTCGCGCATCTGCGGGAAGGGGAAGAAGTCCAGCCAGGGATGATGAGGCACGAGGCGCTGGATAGGAGTGGGCCGGAGACTTGGGGGGATTGGTGCCTCCGAAGAGCCCGGCAGCGACAAGTTGAAGATGGACAGAGCATCGTCCGGCTGCATCCAAGCGGGAGTCATGCCCACGGCGCGGATGTTCTCATTGATGGCGCGGTGGACATTCAGCCGGCGAAGACTGACTAAGTGCTCAATTTGAGGACTGCCCAGTCGAAAACTCTGCTGCGCAATTGCCTCAAACTGCTGCCGGAATTGCAGAGCGCCTTGAGGAACGAGGTTGCAATCCAGGTCGTTGTCATCGGGCTCATCTGCGGCATGCGACCGTGGGGAGTCCGTGGAGCGGGTGGTGGTGGTGGTGGTGGTGGTGGTGGTGGTGGTGGTGGTGGTGGTGGTGTTGCGGGCCTGGCCCAAGGCATCGAACGTAGACTCAGTAGTCTCGCGTGCTGATTGATTGCTTGCCGCTTCATGCCTGAGATCCCGTACAATGCAGGTGGTCAATAGATGATCATCAACGTATAGGGGAGGTGATACTGTACATACGATAGGCGCGTTGATTCAATCGATTCTGCAGGCGGCGACGTTTTGGTCGGTCGACCACCCCGGTCCAGTCATCTTCCGGGACCCAGAGATGGTTTTGCTGAGGCATCTGCGCCAGGGTGACAGGTGTATTGTTGGACATAATGAAGTCGACAACTATAGTTCATGGTCGCCGAAATTGACAACCTTAGAGGAAGGGAGGAGAGAAAGAAAGAGTCGTTCCCGGTTGCCTTATTACAGGTCGATAAGATGACTCGCTAACTGGCCGCTGCAATGGGTTGGATTTCCCTACCCGCCAACCATACTAGGTAATTTACCGTAATTTACAATTCAATTTTCATCGGGTCTTGTAGTTCACGGTCCTCAATTGCTCATTAGCTTACTTACTGCATACTCTTTTTTTTTTTTTTTTTTTTTTTTCTCAGATCGATTGCATCGAGCTTCCTCTACAGGTCTACGGGATTGTCATTCTGTATGCTCTCTTAGACCACCCCCCAAAGCACTACTCGTAGCGGTTCGGAATGGTGATCCTCGCCTCCGGAAATCGACTGGCAAGCTCATCCAAGATGATCGTCGCATCCACCGCATACACCCGTCGCGGATCCTCCGATGGAACCGGGCCGGCTACAATCATTGCTACCAGAGCTTCCGAGTCCGCATCGACCACCCACGTACCGATCAAATCATAATACGGAATGGACATTCTCACCTGGTAAGTGTGGACCGGGCCTATGAGGGGCGTCCGAAGTTCTCCATACTCGGTCACTCGAAAGGTCACTGGCTCAGACCAGAAATCCCAGAACAACCCAATCAACCGGCGGGTTTGGTAGTATGCGGTAGACGCTCTCCAGACCGGAACGGGCCACCGCGGCGTCACCACTGCATCCGGGGTCATGGCATGGTACCAGTAGTTGGTCCAGTGCTCCGGCTTGGGCCCCAGATTCACCAGGGCCCAGCCTTGCTCACGGCTCCAGAACCGGGAATCGGGCTCCGCCTCGTTGGCCCGGTCCGATGGAGGCCCGCCGATGTACTGGCCGGTCTCGACGCTATAGATCGCGCTGCAGCGAAAGACCGGCGCCTGTGGAGGGTGGTGATGCAAGAATGGCACGATGCTAGTCAGCCCGTAGTGGATGTCATCGATCGCAAGAATGCCCCCGATAATCCCATATCGCGTGGTCGCGGACGTTGGTCCAACGCAGTAGTAGGTACCAGGATAAGTGGTTGGAGGTGGCTCATACGTGGTTTCCGTTCCCTCCCTCATTGTTGATGCTCTAGAGGTGCAGAGGAGAGAGATTGGGTTAATGGTGTCGATGCGATGGGCGCATGGTATTCTACATAGACCATGGGGCTATTTATCTTTCTGGGCGAAGCGGAATACCTCTCAATCCTTTGTACACATTTACAGTTAGTAACTGGTGCTTTTCTCTTGCGTCGATAATATGGTTTGAAAGATCTCCTGGAGACTTACGAAGATATTGGTGGTGGTTATCCTTCCTGTTGATTGCAGTGTGGCTGGTGCGGGATGGCGGGCCCGTTGTGTGATGGTTGCAGAAATGACACCATTGGAGATACCCCCCAACTCTTATCACCCCTCAGAACCATATGGAAATGGCCATTGACCTGCTCTGGAAATCGCGTCAGGAAGCAATGGCGACAGGAGGGAGACCATTGACGTTTTGGTGTTTGTGTTGTTGTTATCGGCTGCAAGCTGTGCAGATATATAAGGAATGCATCATCCCGCCAGATCTCGACTACAACTCCATGTGTTCAAAGTTAGCACCCAACCATGCCCCCCCGATATCGTCGTGTTGCCGTGATTGGCACTGGTCCTTCGGGACTGTCCGCTGTCAAGGCTCTTCACGATGAAAACATGTTTGACACGATCCGGGTGTTTGAACGACGCGACCGTGTCGGGGGCATCTGGCACTACGATGCGGTGCCGGACCCCTTCCCTAGCCCTAACACTCTTCTCGATGTTTCCAACCCGGCACCCTCTGCTCTCCCTCAATTCACTCCTCCTCTGCCGGAAAATACGACTGCCCGCACAGGTATCTACTATCACCTCGACAGTAATGTTGGAGCCAAGGCCATGTCCTTCACCCACACTCCATTCCCCGAGGTCAACTCGGCCCTCTCCATCCGACAATTTGGACCCGCCAATGCCTCTCGTCCATTCCGCGTGGTGGCCAACTACATCGAGGATCTCTTCCAACCCTACCTCCAACTAGTCTCACTGCAGACGACGGTCGAACGAGTGGAGAAGATCGGCGAGGAATGGAGACTCACCCTGCGGAGAACCGGCCAGCTCTACCGCGGGGTCCCTCAGGACTACTGGTGGACCGAGACCTTCGATGCCGTGATCGTGGCCACGGGGCACTACAACGTCCCCAACATCCCCGAGATTCCCGGGCTGGCCGCCGCGTGGGAGGCGTATCCGCATGCCTTGGAGCACGCCAAGGCCTTCCGGAGTGCCAACGACTACGTCAACCAGCGCGTCCTGGTGGTGGGAGGCAATGTCTCCGCCGCAGACATCGTCACGGAAATCCACTCCCTCGTGGCAGGACCCCTGTATCTCAGCCAGCGAGGGTCCAACCCCGTCCTCGAACCCGCCTGGACACTTCCGAATGTCCAGCGTAAACCGACTATTGCGCACGTTTCGACCACCGAGCAAGGGATTACCGCGCACTTCACCGACGCCACCTCGCTGACTTTCGATAAAATCATCTTCGCCACCGGCTACCGAGCCTCCTACCCCTTTCTTACCCCAGACCCCGTGACCCCGAACAATCGGGTGGCAGGCTTCTACCAGCACATCTTCAGCATCGCCGACCCCTCGCTGGCGTTGGTGGGACAGGTCCGTGCGGCCATTAGTTTCCGCGTCTACGAGTATCAGGCCGTCGCGGTAGCACGCTACTTTGCCGGTCGGTCGAGGGACCTCCCGAGTAAATCGGAACAGGATCATTGGGAATTCAGGCGCTTGCAGAGTAAAGGAAATGGAGTTGCCTTCCATGAGATCAAACCAGATTTCAAGGAGTATTTTGACTTCTTGGTGGATCTGGCTGGGGAGGGAGCCGAACTACCCCCGTGGGAGGACCGGTGGGCTGAGGAGGCGTTTGAGATCCTGCAGGCCAAGGAGGCCTACTGGAAGAAGTTGAAGGCTGGGGAGAGCCAGAGTGTAGAGAGAGCAAAGCTGTAGATAGCAGGTTTACAATAGCATTGCGATCAAGATTTCGGCTATGAATAGGCGGATGGGAATGTATTTAAGACAATGTATTGCTTAGATCACTCGCCGCGCCATGTCTCAATCAAGAAACTTGTTATCCCCGGTGCTCATATTTTCTGTTAATCTACTGCACGTTCAAGCTCCAGTACATCCCCTAGACCGACTCCATGCTTCACGATACCGCAAGAACGGCAACCGCCCAGGCCGGCAGATTTACGGTAAAGCTGCCAGGACCCGACACAGTCGAGGTGGTAGGAGTGATAGACACGTCGTGCGGATAATTACTCACAAGCTCGCCGCCTGACAATAATTCCAGGGATCCCTTGGTGGTGCCCGCAACATTGACCGTCACATTCTGGGCCGTCGACCCGTAATTCGCCAGTTTCACATAGTAGACTTTCTCCTCGGACACAGAAGCGACCCAATAGACAGGTCCAAAGTCTGCAGAGCTTGTGACGGGGAGAATAGTGGTCCCCCGGTTGGTAGAGAATAGCTTCTGGACATAGAATGATGTCGAGCCGGTGATGGAATCGGGGCTAGAATCGAGACCGAAAAGATCGGGCTATTGCGCAAAGGAACAGAGTATCAGCCGCCGCTGTGGGTTCAGTGAATGAGGAAGAATGCATAGTACTTACCGACCACTCGGCCATGTCAAAATGCTCGAGCAAGGGCGCGAAACTCGCCATCTTGACCACGTCGCTGTTGCGTTCCAGACCTATCATGTACACGGCTTCGGCACAGCTGCCCTGCATGTAGCTCCAATAGGTGGTGCTCCCGTCATTGCCAGTCGTGCTGGCGTATTCCCCAACCAGAAGGGGATGGTCGCGAGAATAGTTGTCAAACTCGTTGAAAAGAGCGACAAAGGAGTCAGGCGAGAGATAGTGGTGGATATCGGTGTAGGCTCCAGTGGGCAATGTGGCTGGCAGGCAAGAGCTGGAGGTCGTTGAGGCAATAATAATCAAATCGGGATACTGGGCATGGATCGCATCGTAGATCGCCGTGAATCGGCTGGCGTAGGTGCTACATCCGCCTTGTACGTTGTCTTCATTGCCTACCTCGATATATTTCACTGGCCAGGGTTCCGTGCGGCCGTTCTTCGCCCGGAGCGCACCATATGTCGTCCCCGTAGAGCCAAGCACGTACTAGTCCCCAGAGTCAGTCGTTGGAGTAGAGTGAACTTCAATGTCAGCGACAAACCTCAAGCTCGTTGAGGATATCATCAATGTACGGGTCCAATGCCGAACCAGAGATGATACCTCCCCCTAGTGAAAGACCTGCCCAGACGGCAAGAACTGGCTCCATTCCCATGTCTTCACACCAGTAGAGATATTCGTCGAGGCCTGACAGCTGCATCAGCATAATATCCTCTGTGCAGTGCAGAGTGATTTACCCAGTGCATCGGTATTTGCGTAAGTCCAATCACCTGCAAGTCGTTAGATCTCCAACCGTGCGCGCATAGAACGAACGAGATGTTACATACCCTGGCGACCCGGTCGATTGACAACAGCGCCAATAGTCTCATTCCATTTCCACCGATTGCTGGGACTAGCTCCTTCACTGGACGGAGGTTAGGATTCAGTATCACAGAGTATCCTGTTTCGCGACCGTTGCACCTACAGGTTATTGCCTCCCGGAAAACGCAGGAAGGACGGCTTGATCTCAGCAAGGAAGCTGGCAACATCATTTCGCAGACCATTCTGTCTGCACAGCAACAACATGGGTTTGGTTAGACAGTGGTCGAGCTGGGGTGTCGAACTAATGTACATTGGGTAGACCTACCGTGACTTGTATGTGGGGGGGAAAAGCTGCACCAGGCCGAAGTTGAGAGACTTTCCCGCGGCCTTCGAAGCATCAAACCGCAACTGCCACTCATTGTCTGCATCGGCAGACTGACTCGACTTGAAGGTTGTCTCGTAGGCAGTGAATTTGCTGGAGGTACTTTTCACTGTGATGTTGTGGTCTGCATAGACGATCCCACTCGAGGTTCCCACGAGCCGGAGATTGACTGCCCCCGAGTAGGCACCTTTAATATAGAACGAGTTGGTATACGTGGTAGCCAACACGGGAACTCCATTGTAACCCGTGTTGGCAAATCCCACGTAGCCGGTGGCTCCGGAAGGAACCGTGACCTTGAGGGAGGAGGTGATTGCGTTGCTCACAGGATTGGAAGTGTCCTGTGTGATGTTGACATTGCCTACGGCGGCATAGGCAGTCAGCCCGGGGCTGGTGCCCTGGAACCCATTGTTGCGAAGCACCTGGCCATGGATTCCCCCATCGCCTATGTTCGAATTAGCTGGTTTACAGGCGACTCGGAGGGATAATAGATAGGTTTGACTGCAGCGTACCTGAGTTGTTGATATCCTGAGCGGGGATTTGAAAATTAGTATGTAGCCCGAACCCTTCGTAGAATATTATCACTGACTTCAAACATGATGCCGTAGAGTAAGGGGCTGGTTGCATTTCCACCAGTCTTCGACACAGTCAGGTCAATGGCCATTGCCTGACCCGCAAGCCAAGTCACGGCCCATGCCGACAGGGAAACAAGATGCATTATGGTGAAACAGAAGACTTCAGTGCGTTGCGTCTCACTCACCATCAAATCAAGTACTTTCGATGGGAGATTGCTGCTTATATTGACTCTGATCTTGGATGCTAAGCTGCCTCCTTCATGTGCCGCGACATGCGAGCGTGACTGACTCCATGCATGCGGACTTCTGAACAACCCGCATTATGGTCAGAGTCCACCGGGAAATTACTCAGGGAAGGGGTTGCAGAGCTGCAAGGTACTTCAAGGTACTTCAAGGTACTGCAAGTTACTGTCAGGGCATGGGTTGATGGAAGGTATGATTTATGTGATTTATGGAGAAATTAGATTGCTTGCCGGATAAGCGAGGATAGGGTGAGGGGACCTGCATATATAGACGGGGAAACAATGAGAACCCCCGCATTCTAGCCGGATAAATGCAGTCACTCATCGAGTAACGACCTGCCTTGATTTATTCTAACCATTATGTTTCCCTCTTCCCCTCACGCCAACCCCAGAGCTTAGCCGCAGAGTCAATTGCTCCCTCCCGTCTGAATCCTTACTCGTGACGAGGTCCTGCCCAAGGGACTGCCGCGTTAGGGCAAAGATATTTCCCCCGTTCAATCATACACGACCCCCTGCTCAGCAGCATCGTTGCCGATCGAAGCTTTGCATACAGTAATGTTTAGGTACCAAAGTTCGCATCATGCACGCAACTCGGCTCATAAACGATTAGTAGCATTATGTCAATAAGTAGTTGGCAACACCGCTATTTCTGAGTCATGCCGATAACAACCCGGAAGGGGACGCGGGTAGAGTCGGAAGAAGGATCTACGCAAGTATAAATAGAGAACTATAACAATACAGTCAATAGTGTCCCAGAGGTCGTATCGATGCATGCTACCAACGATGTCTGCCCGATTAATCCCTCGACTACCTTTTTTCCACGCCCTCTGCTACTCCTCCTCGACGGCTGCGGTGCGCCCTGAATTTCTCAATTCACTCAGTTCATCCTATGTCAATCCACGCCAGCACATCATAGGCACCGACGGCATCACCCAGACCATTCCTGCCTCCGCGGTAGCTGGAATTAGTGATGAAAGAGTTCTTGCGCTCTTTACGAGCGGCTTTTTTGGTGGCTTCGTTTTTGCCCCGGAGTGGCTGCTGCTGACGGCTGCTGGGGGAAGAATTCTACCTGTGGAGTATACCGGTCCGTATCTCCTGAGTCAATGCGAGTGATAGAAGAGTTCATTGAGGGAACGATGCCTTAGGCCTTACAAGAGAAACCCACACGGCCCCAACTCTCTGGCGCCAGGCGCATGTCTCCGACTCCCAGCTCCATCCGGTGGGCACCTGTTTTTTCGGCACATTCATAATTCTAGACAAGCACATTGCAACCGAGTCAGAAGTGACCACAACCGGTCCGCGCGCTAGTTGGGTTGACTACGGCTTTGGGTCGGACGAATCTTCCTTCGCGGGCTGTCACCGATTTCAGATCACAAGAATTGAAGGAAAGGGGAGAAGCAAGGGCAACACAGACTTGACCGCCGAAAACAAGGTGCAGATTGAGCTGCAGTCATTTCAATGCAACCCCCAGAAGAATGTACCGTTCGGCTCTGAGATCTTGAAACAATTTCATTATCAGTATGCGAGACTGCTGTTCGCCAATGGAATTCAATCCGTCCTCTTACGGAAAGCTTGAGCACGCCCTTCGATGGCTGCAAAAAAGGCTCACGGCGGGTCCGAGGAGTTTGTATGTTATTGGCTTTATGTATGATAGTGCGCAATACCCCGCTCTAACTGACAATCAACTAAGATCTTGGAGAATCGATATAACCAGTTCTGAAAACGTTCTATGCTGTTAGAGATACATCAAGCCACTGAGAAAAAAAAAGCAAATAAAGAGAGAGAGAAAAGAGGGTGGTCACGACATAACCCCGCAAGCCCGGTCAAACAACCTGTAGAATCTGTTGTAGCAACTCGTCTGAGCCTGGTCTAATTGGGTTCGCAGCTCGCAACGCTTCGTGGGCATCCTCAGGCGGGTAGATCAATTCTTGGTTGATATAGCACTTGACGCGCTTCGCCATTTCCCCGGACATTTGGACCTGCCGCTCCCAGCCCCCCGAGATCACGGCCCCCCAACTGCCCAGGTCCAGACAGCACAGATAGGCTGCTTGGGAGTATTTCACCAGAGACTCACCCAGGAGATCGGCTGCTGCATTATGACCCGCCACCCGACCTAGTTGCAGGGCATGCTGGCAGGACATCAAGGCGTAGTGCCCTTCACTATCCGCCATGGCGCACGCGGCATCGCCAGTGACCAATATATCCTTGGCAGACGGGGCACGAAGCCATTCATCAACAAAAACTCGTGCGAGAACGTCTTTTGGTCCCGGGATCTGCTGAGTGAGGGGAGTGGCCCGAACCCCGGCCGTCCAGATGGCTGTTTTGGTGGCGATGCGTTCTCCGGACATAAGGGTGACGCCATCTGCATCCACGGCTTGGACGCCCGAGCCCAATCGACTCTCAATCCCAAGCTCACTCAAGGCTTGTGTGATGACTGGACGCGGACCCTGTCCCAGCTCGGAGCCGAGATCCTCAGCCTGATCTACCAGGATGACCCGCAGATTGGCAATATGACCCAATCGCTTGGGTAGCTCCGCGGCCAATTCGATTCCCGTAAAACCAGCCCCGCAGACCACGACGGTATCTCGCGCAGCGCTGACGTCCAGAAGCTGGAGAGTGGTCAGATGCGCGTCAAGCTTCGCAGCAGACTTTAGAGAGTCCACGTCAAACGCATGTTGGCAAAGCCCAGTGATACTTGGCGGTTGAACGACGGAGCTTCCGGTAGCCAAGATAAGGCGATCATAAGAGACGTGGTATTCGGATCCATCGGTGGACTGTGCATGAACAATGCGCGTCTCGGAATCAATGCTCTGGGCGGTCCCTGGGCAGAACTCGATGCCAGTGGCAGCGAAAAGGGGACCCAGTGGGTGGGTCATGTTGCCAGCTTCTGCCTCATAGAGACGAGGCCGGAGAACTAGAGTTGCACTCGGAGCAATAACCAAGACCTTAATGTGATCGGTCTGATTGGCGAGGCTGATGAGACGCTGGGCTGCCAGTGCGCTCCAAAGCCCGGCAAATCCGGCTCCCAAGATGACGATTTTGGCTGGCATGTTGGGATAGTGTCGAGTGGTCTAAAATATGAGAGAGGAACGATTGATGAGCTGGAGAACATACAAGGAACCCACGCAGATGCATCTTCTAGAGATTTATAGGGTAGTTAATTCTGTGGACGGGATTCCGGATATCAGAGTTCTAAGGTAGTATTGATGCTATACAATCGGCTATTCCTCAAATACCCTTGAATACCCGCAGGGGATTTTCGGATTCCCGGATACCCGGCGCTAGTCTGCGTTGGGTCTCAGTGATGCTGAGTCATGCGGTCCCCCATCCCCCACTCCTTCTTCTCCATCTCATCTTCTTATCGATAGCAAGATCATCATCACTATTCCTCGCCATGACTTCCAAAGTCACGCGTTCATCGCTAGCCTGCTTACCATGTCGGAGTCGACATCTCAAATGCGACGGCAAGCGACCCGCCTGCAGTCGCTGCGTGGAAGTGGCTCAGCCGTGTGAGTATACCCGGTCACGTCGTGGGGGTCTGGACCGTGCTGCGCTGGCGGAACGGCGCAAGCGCTTGGCCGCCGCTGCAATAGCAACCGAGGCAGAGACCGAGATAGAGACCAATCTGCTCAGCAACATCCCAGCCAGCACAAAACAATCCAAGATCCCTCCATCCACTGTTTCTGCATCGACATCTTCTACATCCCCCTCCTCTTGGGTGCAGACGCAGATCGATCAACCAGATCATGCCGTTCTGCTCGACTCGTACTACCGCCATTTCCATTCTTTGCATCCTTATGCACCACCCCGGGCCCATCTGAAAACCCTCCTTCGGGATTCCAGTCAAGAGATCCGATGGAGGCCCCTGCTTGCTGTTATGTATTGTATAGGTCATATATATCTAGCACACGAATGGTCCGATCCTTTAGAGGAGCAAGCCGAAACCTGCTTGGCCCAAGCCCCCCCCCTCGACCCCGTCCTGGTTCCGTCCCGCCTCCTCTACTCCATAGCTCTGTTCTGGTATGGGCGGAAGGAGAAAGCATTGTCTGAGAATGAACAAGCAGGACGACTGGTGAAAGAACTGCAGATGTATCAGTCGCAATTTGCCCTCACCCACGGCGGCGAGGATCGAGTGCTACAAGAGTGTTGGCGGCGGGCGTGGTGGGCAGTCTATGTTCTGGACCTATTCTTTGCAGGCACGCTTGGCACGATGACCTTCGCATTTCTAGATGTTCAGGCCACGGCGGGACTGCCGTGCGAAGAGCATGAATATGAGTCAGGTGTAAGTATGAAAAGTGTCACATGCTGCCTCGACTCACGCGAAAATAGGAAATCCCGGCGCCGAAGACTCTGCAAGACTTTGACTGCCGCGAGTTCGCCCTTGATGACCCGGTATTTTCGTCTTTCACCTACCTGGTTGGTGCCGCGCGATGCGCCGCGATGGCGATCGCGACCGCTCCAAGGAATACAGTCAAAGAGGACTCGACCCGAGTCATTCAGACCGCCGACTCAATACTGGACGGGTGGATGCTGCTGTTGCCCCGGAGCCGGAAGCAGCTGATGAGCAAGACCGGCGAGATTGACGAGCTCATGTTTCAAGCGCACTTACTCATCCACGTGTAAGCCTGTTGCGGAATGCTCCTGAAAAAGAAAATCGAGCTCACCATCCCTCACAAGCGCCTCTATCGGCCTACACCGGCCTTTTTCCGATCTCAAATTCAACCCAGTCGAGGATCTATCCAGCTGCGCCCGAGACCCGCCTCCGAACGCCCCTACCCCCGAATTAGTTAACGTCCACACAGTCCGGGTCCTGCGATCCGTCGAAGCCCAGGTCCGCCTTCTGGCCCTCCCCGTACAACAATTTCATCATACCCCGTTCGTCACCTGCATGATCAGCGAGGGCGTCCTCTCGTTACTCTCCGCCTGCTACTGCCTCTTGGCAGGCAAGGACCTGACCATTGCACGCGACCAGATACGATTGATCATCGGATGCCTTAAGGCACTGGGCGAATGGTGGCCCAGGACCTCGAAGAACGTCCGCGAGATCCAGACGATCGCGAGCCATGTGCTTGGTCTTGTCCCCGCAACAGCGGCCAGTGCGCGCTCCAGGGAGAGTACCAGCTCCAGTGAGCTACCCGGTCTAATTCACGGGAATGGGACAACGGCATCGGGAACTACGCCGGAAGCCTCAATGTCTAGCTCCGAGTCGGATGTCCTTCTATCCCTGGACTCTCTGCAAGACATGTGCGGGTGGTTCAACATGGGAGATTTGGATGCAGATCCGTCATGGGGTCTAGGAATTGGTCTTTAAATCCAGATCGGAGAGCATCCTTACTGCTGGTAGTAGTCTCCACTAGTAATCCAATATATAGAAATGATACCATCATCGCAAAATTTGACGCGTTCTCACACCGTAGCCTCTTTTGAGAGATCAAGATCATTGGCTGTGAAGGTGAAATGTTCTCCATTGTGCAACCACAAATTCAAGACCAGGGGTCTACGAAGCCTTATAATTTGATGTTCTGGTTGACGCTAACGACCCTTGATCAGCAATCCTCTACCTTGTTCTTCTTGCGCGTCACAACAGTGAGATTATATTAAAATTGTATATTTCGTAAATATCAGTCTGACCCAGGTTGAGCTCAGGACAAACCCAAGGGGGAGGGTGTGTGAGCGCAAATACATATCAAGCCATCGGAATAGCTTTCACAACATCCAAAGACCGACGACGAGAGCAAGTAACCCACACACCGGAATTTGCTCGCGATGGCTAGCGGCAGCACCGGTGAAAATGGGCCCAGCAGCGCTCCCGGTACTGGACGACCCCTGCACTATAGACGTGTGCGCCGTCGCTTTCACGGTGGCGAAGGATGATGCTGCGGACGAGTTGACGGGGGGCTTCGACGGAGTCGAAGTGTAGGCAACCGCAACTGAAGATGAGTCTGTTGTCTCGATGCCCTTCATGCTTGCAGGTGCCATTGGGTTAGGTACATTCTGGGCCGTGGAAGCACTATTAGACGCATTGGTAGAAGTAGCCGAGACGCCGGATTCGGATTCCAATTTTGAAGAACTTGCTGCGGACTGGGCGTCGTTCGAGATGGGCTCCGAGTCAAGGGTGGAGTCAGGGTTGCTCGACGCGATGGGGCTGGTGACAGCGCTGGAACCGGAGGGAGAGCCGGATGCAGGGCCAGAGCCGGAAGTAGAGGCAAGCGCAGAGTCGGTGCCGGAGCTGTGGCTAGAACTTGTGCTAGCGGCACTGTCGAAGGCAGGTCTAGATGAATGCCCGTCAAAAAGACCAGAGGATTGGCTGGATGAGGAGCTAGAGGAGAGCCCGAGTGAAGAGTGGGACCCAGAATCCGAGGTGTATGAAGGGGAGTCGGGAAGGGTTCCAGCCAAGGAGCTTGTAGAAGAACTTGTAGAGGGGCCTGTGAAGGAACCTGCGGAGGGACTTGTGAAGGAACCTGAGGTAAAGCCTGGGAAAGAGCCTGAGACAGAGCCAGTCCCGGCTGAAGATTCAGAGCTAGAGCTCGACTCGGATGGTAGATGATCTGCAGAACCAGAACCAGAGCTAGATTC